AGCGAAAGACACCACCTTATTTTTAGCAGACAAATGTAAGCTCCCAAGAAAGAAAACGCAAGAAGGGGTTGGTTCGGTGCTTTCCTTCCCAGCCCAAAAACGTTGGCTTCTAAGTGGGAAAATATCTGTCGACGTAAACCTGAAATAAAATAAAAAACCTCTACTCTGCTCGGGAAGGAGTCCAAGGAAAATAAAGGGTCTGAGATTTTTTTTCAGCACTGCTGGCAGAACATCTGAATTCTCCAGAGGCGTGGGGTTCGGTGGGGGGGGGAAGAGAGAAAGATTCCCTACAGAAGAAGCTGAGCGCTATCAGAATAAAAGTCCCCAGAAGGATGAAGGGCGAGGCGGCAATGAGAGGGGGGAAAGGAGGATATATTCCAAGAGAGGAAAGACTGGAAGAAGGGCAGGGGGGAGGAGAGAGAAGGTGTTCAGGGAGGTAACAGAAATGGTCTGCAATAAATATACCTTCATGGATTCTCCTCCCTCTCGTCATCAGCAAAAGATTCCTCCGTGTACCTCTAGTTGCAGAGACAGCAGGAAAACCACATCCCGTTCTTCTTAAAGCATCCAATGCAACCTTGCGTGCTTCTTAAAGCATCCGAGAATGCACCTTGGCAACTTTTGAAATTTTTTATATTGGGGGGGGGAGAAAAGAAAGGGGGGAAAAAAGCCAGCCCCTTACCTGATTGTGTTTCCACTGCCAGAGAATGTCATAAGGCAACTGGAAGTCGATCCGCTTTTGGCGCAGGTATTTTCCTGTAATGAGGGAAGAAAGCGAGATCGGTTTCTCTTTCTTGGTCTCTTCCTCTACAGGGGGTGGGGGTTTCCTCTTAGTGGGGCAGGACCTGGACAGGGTGTCTTCAGTGACAGAGGGTGGGGGCGGGAAATCCAGGATCAACGGCACGCACAACCCACCGGTGAAGTTCTCCTTTGCAACACTTAAGAAGCGCAGAAGGATGGCGTTGGAAGGGGACCCATCAAAAGACATCGGGTCCTGCTCAAGGCAGGAACCCAAATCAAAGCAGGTCGGACAGGGGGCGGCCCCATTTCCTCTTGAAAGCCTCTGGCGCTGGAGCGCTCACCCCCCTCCCGAGATCGCCGGTTCCTTTGTCGTACTGCTCTAACAGTTAGGAAGTTTTTTTTTCCCTGACCTTCAGCCTAAATCTAGCTCCCTGTCGCTCGAGCCCATGACGACGTGTCCTGCGTTCTGGGAGGATCGAGAACAGAACTTGGGAAAAAGAGTCGGAACAGCCCGAGCATGTTAAGAGAAGTCCTGCGCTCTGGGAGGATCGAGAACAGAACTTGGAAAAAGAGTCGGAACGGCCCGAGCATGTTAAGAGATGCTTTGCTTGCGTACAGACAAAGAGGTTTATCTGTTTTAACACGATGAACGGACGACCGGAGGCTTCGAAGAATCCTCTTCTGTGACGTGGGGCAGGAGCCTTGTGGCACAGTGGTTAAACTGCGATTAAGCCTCTGCTCATGAGCTAAGTTTGATCCCAATAGGCTCACGTAGCTGGATCGAGGCTGACTCAGCCTTCCACCCTTCCAAGATTGGTAAACTGAGTACCTAAATCACTGGGAGTGTGTGTGTGTGTGGGGGGGGGAGGCAATGTGTAGCCTGCATAATCAAATTGCAAACCACCCAGAGAGTGCTTTAAATGCGATGGGGCAGTGTATAAGCACGACATTTTGGTGTTTCTTTTTCTTTGCCTTTGTGTACACCTTTCTAAAGGTCCCTGTCATCCTCAGAAAAGCCTATTTTGATTAGACCAGCCGCCTGCGAGGCTCCACCTGGTTGCCCCTTCCCAAACCATCTGGCCCAGCAGGCATCAGTCCCTGTAAGCGGCAGCAAGCTCTGCACGCAGATTCCATGTTAATGCTGCCTTTTGACTATCATCAGTTTTGGTGCGTGTGTATATCTGTGGGAATAAAACAACCGGACTTAAATCCAACTGCTCCTTTCCACAAGAGTAGACCGTCTGTACAAATAGGGCTTAATGATGCACGCGTTGGCTTTCCATTTGGCAACTGATTCATAGGTTCTACTCTAGCAGGGACTGAAAACTGGATTTAGCCAACCCTGTGGCTAAATCGACTAGACGACGTGTATAATTTTCCATGCTGTGCCATTCTGTAATGACGCGCGACATTCTCTCCTGCTCTCCTTTGGCTAAACTCGAATACATGCCCTCATCACGTGGTTTAAAAAATAAGAACACCATGGGCTCCTTTTCCCCCTCCCAGGGCTGTTTTTCCTTTTAAGTCCAACGCCGGCTATTTTGCACATTGGTTGCCTCCCTCCAAGTGGCCACTGGTGAGATCCGGATTCCTGGACTCCTTCTGGGCCTTCCTGAACCTACAAGCTTACCGAGCGTGCTGGAATTCCTTCCCTTAAGTGAGCTATCAAGAGACCATGATCAGCCATCTGTTCTAGTGCGTCTGGACCTCTTCCTGGCAATAGCTAACCAAATTAGGCACCTGAACAGAACTACAGCTTGGTATGAGAGACTCCGGGGATGAATCTAGCTGCTTCTCAGTCCCACGGGTTTTTAATGGGATTTTATTTTTATTTCCCTCTTCTCTCTCCTTCAGGATTTCCAAAGCAACCCAATGTCATCAAGTTTTCATCCCATAAAATCTTGCGCGTGCATTATTTCTTAGATCCAGCACAGGAACTATGCCGTCCGCCAGAGGACTTCCTGGACGGCACCTGGCCTCAACGCCAGGATCTTATATCATGATTATCACCTGCTTACTTGAAAATAACCAGCCCCCTTAAGAAACTGAAGCTGACTAACCCGACGAAACTGCCTGAAATGGGCCAGGAACAGCCAGAAAAAAAAAAAAGGTACAAAAAATCCTGAACAGGTTGATACTTCAGACAAAAACAAGCAAAGAGCTGTCAAACTTAATCTTCTGCAGTAAATCGGTGGAAAGGGTGGTGTTTCTCTCCTGCTGCCCCTTCAGAGTGGGCAGCAGACCCCTGGGTTCCCAAGGGATTCTTTGCCAGGGAAATACATTAAAAAATAATGCTGGCATCAAAAAAACCCCATCAAATACAGTAGGATCCTCATATCTGCAGGGGATCAGTTCGAAACCTCCTGGCGGATGCTGAAAAACGTGGATCATAGCGAACGCTATTATAATCGTGAATGTTGTAAAAAAGGACATAGCATGGTCTTTGGCTCCGTCTAGTGGCCAGTTCTGGTAACTTCATCATTAAAAATATTTATCTTTTTAGTATTTTTAACAAGTCCTGTCCTCCACAGCCTTGCTCAAGCTCTTATAAAACTCGAGCCTGTGGCTTCTTTGAGGGAGCACGTCCATCTTGTAGTTCGCCTTCCTCTTTCCCTGCTGCCGTCCACTTTTCCCCTCCCTCCCTTTAAGGAGATTTAAATGATGACTCCGAAGCTCCTCAGTCTGGGAGCGTTTTCTAGACAAAAATTGCACACAGGGCTTGTGCCGACAGGAGCGTATTTGGTACAGAAATGGAGTCTGATGTTGTTTTAACCTGCTCCGAGATCAGAGAGCCAAAGACGCTCAGATATAAATAAACAGCTATGCCTTAAAAAGCAGCTCTCTCACCCTGGCTCGAGTTGGGATATAGTAGCAAAGCAGACAAAAGGAGACGGAGGAGGAGTATATGTGTGTGTGTGTGTGTGTGTGTGTGTGTGTGTGTGTGCGTGCGTGCGTGCGTTTCAGGTGGATGTCGTCCCTGGCCTGGATGTCAATCAGATACGCAGGTCTTTCTTCAGCCCCGGCATCAAATCTTTTCTGAGGAACGTACTGGAAGGGGGGAAAACAAGAGGAGCTGTCGTGCGGTCTTCGCCACTTGCTCTTTAAATTTTGTTCTTTTTTTAAAAAAAAAAATATTTTCAAAGCCTCAAGTTGTGCCTGGCAAGTTCCAGGAAGCAGCAAAGTCCGCTGGGAATCTGTTTTCACTTCTATGACCTCACTGGGTAAAACAAAAGGCTCTTTCAAGAGCCTGGCAGCCAGCCCAGAGATGTGTGTGTGCGTGCTTTCTACACACACAAACACACACACACACACAGAGAGAGAGAGAGAGAGAGAGAGAGAGACATACACACAGACACCCCTCCAGAGTTAGTCCGGCAGAGAAATAATCCTCCAGTTAACATGATTCAGGAGAGGAGAGGCCACACTGCCCTTAAGCCAGGAGGAGTGATTAAAGACGCCTTATCTTTTGGGTACATGTTTGTCTGTCTCTCTTGGCACAAATCAGCGGCCAGGCAGGGGTGCAGGGACGGAAAAGGGGGCAGAGCTTGGCCCAGGCGAGGCTCAAGTCCCTCCAAAAATGGGTCCTGATCCCGGGGAATCTTTTAAACCGGACCGCAAAGAAGCCAAAAGCATCTTTCCAGCCCTTTTGCAGATTAAGAGAGATGTGCAAAGCACCCCTCGGTTCCTTTATTTCTTCACTTCCAGCGATGAACTCCCAGAAAAGGGGGGGGGGTTGAAAACAGGAAAGGGAGAGGTGGGGAAACTGATTCCCTTTTTCTCCCCCTCTTATGAACTGTTTTAAATGGGTTTTAGTACTGATTTTATTTATCGCTTTTAACATAATACTCGTTTAATTCTTTCCAAAACATTGGCATACTTACTTTTTTAAAGCTTTTGAACATCGAATGTTTAACGAAGTTAGCCCTGCTTTGGGCCCCCCCACTTTCTTTTTTTTTTAAAGGAGAAAGGTGGCGCAAAAAAGATTTTAAATAAATAATAATGAATGAATGATGAGACGCGAATGACCAGCCGCCAAATGAAAGCCGCCAGTAGCACAATGCAGGGCTAACGAAAGGAAGCCCTCCTAACCTTGGAGGATTGTCTTGAGGAAACTCAACTGCCACAGCAGGTAACGAATGGCTGTAAACCTCACTTTAAAAAAATAAAAAGATTGAACAAATCCTCAGAAGAAAAAAGGTCTCCGAGTGGCAGTTCTTAGTTAAGACAGCTCAGTGGAACCGCCGCATACAGAGACGGTGCAACTCGTATCTTACGGAGAGAAATGCAGGGAGAAGCTAAGATGATTGACGCTGGGCTTAGAATCCCATGGGCGGCTGGGGGGGGCAGGAATGGACACTAGAGGGTCTTCTTTTCCCATCTGTACCATCTCCTCTTGGGGAAGGTCGACTTCCAGGGTCAAATGTGGACCCACCTACCCTGCCCCGGACTTACAAAATCTACCCGGCCGTACTCCAGGGGGATTTGACTTATCGGATGAATGCCTTTTCCTCGTTAGAGCTGAGGGTGACTAACGGTCCACGCTGTTAACGTCAAAGATGAGAAAGATGTAAAAATCACCGATAACAAACATCTGAAATAGTAGCTATCAGATGTCTGAGAGAATGCAATAAAAGAAATATAACCAAGGAGCAGGAGGAGACCAATAAAGCCGCTGTGTTTTCTCCCAAGGAGACAAGAGTGTGGAGGAAAACTGGACCCCATCCCCCCGAGGGGCACTCCCGGACAAGAGTAATCGACAAGAAGGCTTGGCCCTGTATGTCAGACCTACAGGTTGGGCTGCGCAGAAGAGCCGGGGCGGGACTACAGACCATATGCCGCGTATACAACTCTGCCTTCCCATCTCCACTACACAACTCTGCACAGATCGAAGAACACAACGGCCCCGATGCCCATCTTTCCCACCCCTCTGCCTCGTGAAGTCAAATCCCAAAGTCTTCGCTCTCTGGGTTCTGACCACGTCCGCGGGTGGAGCGCTCATCTCGCCAAGTTTCCGAGGAAGGCGACAACGACCGAACGCCAAAAAAGATTTCTCGCTGATGCTTTTTTAATCTTCTTCCTCCTTTTGAAAATGAACCTTTATGAACGGTTTGAGAGTGCTGGTTAGAAAGAGACCAGCTCTTTTACCACACAGCCTTGTGTCTGTTTTTATGCTAGGTGCCGGAACTAGGATCGATACGAGACGGAAGAAGCTCATCCCCCCCGATCCCCTCTTTCTTCCCTCCATTTGCTAACTCAACCACCTCATCCTCTCTAGCCACTGAGGACATCTGCCCTGCTAGGCCCACCCGCACCCCAACTCAGTTCAAGGGGCCCGAACATCACCTTCGAAAGCCATAAACGTCCTCTGGCTGAGAGGAGGTCTACAGCATGGAGGGCTGACTTACCCACATGAATCGGCGCCGGGAACAAGCCGTACTCGTGTTCGCCAGGGGTGTACTCCAGCTTCTCCTTCTTTAACTGGATCAGTCGGCTTTTGGGGCTGAGAAGAGGAGGAGCAAGAAAGAGATGGGATAAGCACAAGCCGCGTTGTACGGCACTCCTAAATCTTGGGGCAAGAGTAGAGACGTAGCTGCTGCAGGCAGGGGTGGAGAGCGCGTCTCGTCAACCTGGAAGTCCGAACGGCACACCTTTTTTTCGATCCGAAATGTCGCCGTTGGGAGCAGGGGCCTGACTAGATGCAACTTTAATTCTGCGATGAACCATCACAGCCAGGGTTTAAAAATAACAGTAGCAAGGAGCCACCACAACGGTAATGTACGTACATCAGCAGCTTTGGGATTAATTGTGTGACCTCAGCAGGCACAGAAATGAGATTTAATCCCTTTCTTTTCTGGTTGTGATCCAGGTGAACCACCCACAAATGCATGAATTAGCATTAGCACTTCAACAGAGGACAGTGGCTGTGGAGAGATGAGCTAAGCTTAACGACGACCCCCCCGCCCGCGAAAAGGCTTAGTATTCATTAGAAACAAAAAGACCTGATTTTAGCATGCAGTTAAATTATTGTCTAGCCTGGCTTCAACAACAACAACAAAAGGCCCAGTGGGGATTTGAACTCCCAACCTTCTGGCTCCATAACCAGATGCCTAAACTGCTGAGCTATCAAGGAAATGACAGGTAACATTAAGGGAGGGCTTTTAAAAATGCTTTTATTTCTAAAATCAGTTTAAAACCTTGGCTGGCCACCATCTGGTACAGATGTATCAGATGAGCGGGATATAAATCAAATAAATAAATAAATAAATAAATCACAAAGGGACCGACTCCGCTCACTGGACACCGCCGAGCTTTGGCCGTGGAATGAAGCCTAGCGGCGCAAAGCTTCTGCAAAAGTCTGCAGGCCCACTAAGCAATTCTCGGAGCGTGACAAGTTTCTAGTCCTGATGATCAGGAATGAAGATGAAGTCAACTTACTAAAGTAAAAGGGAAACAGGATGATGTGGGGGGGGACGACACCCAAAACCGAAGTCTCTCAAAACCATACCACGGTAATAATAGTCTACGACAGGTCTTGCTTCAAAGTAGATACTACCTTCTTACATAACGGTTTCCAAACACAACTGTGATGTATACCAAGTGTATTGCAGGTACCAGCTTCAGTTTCGTACATACATGGCGTCCAGTCTAGATTTAATCAGCCACCTATAACTAGAACCTGCAAATTACACGTGGCTTCCGAGCTCCTGGAGGGGTCGCCTGCCCTCTCCTGCCCTCCTTTCAAATCACCTCCAGCCATTCGCTCTGCAGTTAACTGTGCCGCCACTAGAGGGCGACTCGCCACTGCCACTGTTCACGTGCAGAGGGCCCAGAACTTAGGCCCTGCCCAGCGAGCGAATGCCTTCGCCCAGAAATCACAGCAAAAGTGAAACAACGCCCACAGCCCTGCCGAGGAGAGAGAGAGGGAGACCGGCGGCGAGGTCTGTGATTCTGCTGCTGGAAAACCGCCTCTGCCAGTTCCTGATCCGGCGGCCGGTTCTATCACTGTACTCAACGCAATGTTTAGAGCCGTTTCTGGTCTGTGATTCTGCTGCTGGAAAACCGCCCCTGCCAGTTCCTGATCCGGCGGCTGGTTCTATCACTGTACTCAACGTAATGTTTCGAGCTGTTTCTCACATGTTTTATTTTTTAAAAAACTCCATGGGACAGGCCTGTACTGATTGGGGGCCTAGATACGTTTTAAGGTGGTGGTCCATGTCCGATCCAGAATGGGCACCACTCAGCCCCAACGCACCCCCACAAACCTTTCCCCCCCCAGGGGTCCAGAGGCCACCCTGCCAGCCAAAAAGGCAATTCTAAATGATCTAAAACACAGCTCTCTTTCCTTTTCACTCCTGCAGAAACGGAAGTCTCTTCTGATCCCTTTCAGCTTTTGGGAAAAGGTTTGCACTGGTGTGTCCCAGGAAGCATCCGAATTTAACTGCCATTAAAACACCCACTTGTTTTAAAAATAGGCCTCTAATCAGCCAAGAAACACCAGCAGCACCAAAATCAATAAACATTTTAACAGCAGCCTCTCTTGCTCCAAGCTTAAAGGGACGCCTCTTCTTGGGTAGTGACATTGACACCTTTTTTTATTTTGGCCCTTCTAGAATCGTTCGGCTAATTTATAGATACGCTGACTCGCCTTTTAATGAAAACATGCACACAAATTAATCAGATTAGACTTTCGCCGAAGAACGGCCCCACTTTCATGAAAGGCCCTAAGGAGCAGGAGGACCTCAAGAAACCAGTTTATTATGGTCTTTCCTGATGTTTCCTGAAGGACCCACCTTCCAAGCTCCCCGGAAACAGCCTTATATCCATTTTTAGACCATTCGATGGCTCCACCTGGCTCTATATTGTCTAGGCTGATCAGCAGCCGCTCTCCGGGGTCTCAGGCAGGAGATGCTGGGATTAGGGACCTTGAATTTCTGCAGGAAAAGCGTATTGCCTTTTCCCTGATTAAAACTAAGCCTCTAGTCCTCATGGTTCTGAATAAAGGGCAGACTTAAACAGCTGCCTTGCAGAGAATCACAAGGAGGGCCCATTTAGAGCTGCACGGTTTCTTCCCACAAGCGATAGCTCTTCAAGGGGGCAGAGGGGGGGGGATCTCTTCCAGCTGGGGTGTGAGCCAGGGAGGGCCTTCCTGCAGGTCCCACGTTCTGATACTAACCCACCGGTTAAGGAAACTGCCTTACACCAAGGCAATCAATGGCTCTGCCTCGATCAATCAGGTTGACTCTGTAGGGACTGACAGCCTCTCTCCAGAATTTTCCCAGCTAGCCCCTACCTAGAAACATGTTACAGTTAAGGGCAACCATCAGCACATTTCACTGAAGGGGAGGGTGTCCTTCTTATCAGCCATTCTTTATTGGGTGCTGTAAAGAGGCTACCGTGAGAGACCGCCTGCCATTGTTCTTTATCGGTGACTGACATAACGAGCATAATAATCTGGAAACATAACATTCAACCGTTGATGAAATACTGGAGCAGGAAACGGTTGTCCCCAGAAAGCGGAAGGAACAATGCTTGATGCATCCAATATCTTGATTTTCTGTTTTTCTCATTGTGGATAGAGTAAGCCCTCTCCCCTGTAGACACCGAAAAACATACAAGCACAGTATTGAACGCTATACATTACATAGTCTCTGCCTGCCTCTACAGTGCAGGTCTGGTAAATACACCCTGGAAATACCTATAAATACATATTTCTGGGTGTTTTTTTTTTTTAATTTAGTATATTCAGGCAGCAGATAAGTGACTCAGCAGATACTGGCCCTGCGGATGGGTAAATACATATTTCTGGGTGTGTGTGTTTTTTTATTTAGTATATTCAGGCAGCAGGTAAGTGACTCAGTAGATACTGGCCCTGCGGATGGGGTGTGTGTGTCTCTGTACATATAAAGCACCATTTCCAATGCTTTAGATAAAAAGAATTCCGAAGAGATCGGCCTGCAATTGGGGGGGGGGGTCGCTGTCTTTTTATTTTGAGATTAGAGACCTGAGGGAGAACGCATTTCCAGTTTGGTCCATCCTTATATTAAGAATGGACAATCTACTACCCAGTTAATTGTATACCAGAAGCAGTTGTGCACATTTCTTTCTTTCTTGGATTTTGGAAGCCAAAATAAATGCCTCTCTGATCTGGTTCGAATCCTACTGTCACGTGCGGGACATGCTTCTCCATCAAGCCTCAGCCGCTGACAAAGCAATCAGGCATCACAGGCCAAACAGTCACTCTTCTTCACACGGAGGAAGTTATTTTTAAGAGTCAAGCTGGGGGACTCGTATCCACAAGAAGAAACTGCTCTTTGGCCTTAAGAGGAGGAACTCCTGATTTCTCCTATAAGGAGGGAGGGGGGAGGGAAAACAATCATAAAATAAAATAGGAAATTCTGATGAGTCAAACATCTTGGGAGCTTTTAAAAAAGAAAAGAAAAAAGGAAGTATTCTTTAACTTGGATCAGCTTCAGGAATGCGGTGTGTGGGCTCTGGAGGGGAAACTTGCAAGTTGCATCAGATTGTATTCGAGGCGGAAGGCAGGCCTGCGCAAATCACCTTCCGTTGGGGGCTCACGGAGGCTTCAAAGAACTTCACTGGGGCAGTTGGTATAAAATGACAGATAGAAATGGCAAGAAATCCGTCCTGTGACAGGGGCTGAAATAGACCGACCCAACTATGGTAGGGCAATGTTTTTTCTTAAGTTCTCCATGCTGGGCGAGTGGTAAAAAGGTCGAGGAAGGCGGGGAGGGTGTGAAGAGGGACTAATGCTTTTTGCACAGTCCTCCAAGAGGCTTCTGCTGCTACGGAGGGAATGCGAAGCCAAGCGCATTGAACGGAGAGCGGAGGTGCAGCCTACGATCTCAACGATCGCGTCTCTTTTTGACGCAAACAACTTATACCGAAAACAACCTGTTTTAAAGCCCCAGTGTGATTAAGGAAGCCCGTGTCCTATGGAACTCGTGCCGAGGAGAAAGCCTCACCGGCACAGACACGCCAGATCGCTCGCATGCTGATGAAAAGCCACCCCAAAGGAGGCAGAACTCTACATGGCTACGCTATTTTACGTCTGGCCAGAGTGTTCAATGAGGGCCATGACGTCCACAAGGCTGGCAACGACAGCAAGATGGCCACAATGGAGGAGGAGGACGAGGAGGGCTACTGAGAAAAAGATGCCATGGTATTACAGGCCTGCGTTTTCAGTTGCAGGCATGCCACGGAGGGAGACCCTCACCGGCCCGCAGACCTCACGGGGTGGGGGGCTGACTTACTCTGTGGTTTTGTAGACGTCCGAGTACAGCCCTGCCTTCTGGTACTTTTTCTTTGGAGGGCGTGGAGCTTTCTTCTCGCGCTGGACCAGCGAGGTCAGCGGCGGCTCCAGGGTTTCCACCTCGTGGGGCTTCACGATCGCTTCCTCGGCAGCGGGAGATTCCGTGGGCACCTCGGAAAAGCTGGAAGGAGAAAGGAATCGGAGAAGAGGATAAACACACTGACGGGCGCCTCGTCTTGCGGGAGCAGCAGGAGAGACCCCCACCACCACCACTACCAGCAGGAGGGGGCTCATCGCTTTGCCTTGGGTTCAATCCCTGGTATTCCCGTCCAGCAAAACACGATGGGGAATTGAAATCCCCCCAGTCACCAAGCTGTAAGATACGTCCCTATTAATCCAGGTCTTTAGACTGGATGATCTGTTTCGCCCAATTTATTTATTTTACTTCTATCTTTTCCATGCCTCTCTTCTCCCGTAAAGGGACTCAAGGCGACGCCACAATAATTAAAATGCAAGTAGAGTTAAATAAATCGTCCCATTAAAAAAAGCAATTACACGACAGCATAAAAAGAATCATCCTTGGTCATTCGCCAGTCTTAACTGTGCCTACTTCAGCTGGCTGATGCGCCCCAGGCTCTCTGGACGACCTCAGAAGCAACATGCGACAGGTAATGACATTACCTTTAATGTGTTACTTTGGAAAGGGTCAATGAAAGCATAACATCTGCAAAATAATGTGCTGACTGATAAATATTTGTATTTTTTTTTCTTTTCAGGGCAACATGTAAGACATAAAACACTGCTTTCGGGAATGAGGGTGGACTTTGATTCCTTCTCCTATTTTTTTTAAAGTGTATTATTTATTTATATCATTATTTAAAAAATTGACAACCTATAAAAGAATTAGAAGTCAATGGGTTATTAAGACGCCACTTTTAAAATACTGAGTTGCAGCCCTAAGGGGCACGCCGTTACGATGAGATAAGGACCAGGAGGAGCCATGCCCAACAGGTCACTTTAAATGATCATGAGGAAGCTCTGGCATCAAGTAACGGACGATTCCCAAGACCTGTGAGCCTGTCACGTTAAACGGAGGTGCCTTCTGGATACCTCTGCCTGCAGCCCACGGGGGACCACTTTACCCTGGCAACCCCACCCCACCCCCCCAGCTTGAGCTCATAGGCACCTGGGCCAGAAAATGACTTGATCCGCAGGGGGGCAGAGGAAGAAGCCCATCCTGGACATGGCAACAGGGGAATGCGCTGTTTGATCTGGTGGGCACCTGTGCCTGCAGAGAATGTGTTCCAATCCCTGGACTGGATGTAGCAACGTCCGACATGACTTTTGGGTCAGGTCTGCCAAGGCCAGTGGGAAAAGGATAACTGTGCTTAGCAAAGCCGGGATACAGAGGTGAGATCAGAAAGCAACAGGAAGGTCTAAGAGAACCTATAGAGGGGGAGAAGCCATTGTTCACCTCCAGCTACAGCTCATGCGTCCCCGCATCCATGCATCCATCCATGCATCCATCCATGCATCCATCCATGCATCCATCCATGCATCCATCCATCCATCCATCCATCCATCCATCCATCCATCCATCCATTTTATACATCACCCCACTAGTGCTGTGCACACATTAAAAACAATTTATGCTGCTATTAGCAGCATAAAACTGAATGCCACCAGAGGCAATTTTCCCGTAAGGGCAAGACAAGAGATTTGCAGTCAACCCGACTCTCGTGTGGAAGGTCTCTCTAAAACAGCTGTGTTTTGAGTTGCCCCAGAAGGTCAACAGGGAGGGAGCCAGGAGTAGCTCCTCCTTGGTGCCACCGCGGAGAAGCCCCCGCCTGTTGTGGATGACTTATGGGGCCCCCCCTTGGGATGGCAACACGGAGCAGCGTACCCTGGGAGGATCTGACGGGTTGGGCAGAGGACCTCGGGGAAAGACTGACGAGTTAAACGGATCTCCGCCAGCAGAAAAGGGGAAAAAGACGAGAAGATTCTGGCCTTCAGCTTCTTAAAGCTTCAGCCTTGAGGAACGGCCACCACCAAGAAAAGATTTTGGGAGTGATCACCCGAGCCATTGGATGGATCCAAGTACCCAAGGACATCGCCAATCACTGTGTAACCTCTCACAGCCCAGCGGCTGTGCCATCTTCCCTTGCCTTGATATTTTCCCCCAGCCACGTAAGAGCTAGCTCCTTTTCTGCCACTAAGAATGCCGTTAACCTGCCATGCATCTGGAGCCCGGCCCTGAACCAGCAGCATGAAAGTATAAAGGAATTAAAGACCTAGAAAAGCCCTTAACGGTTTGGGACCTCATGACACGGCTGACCGCTTCCTTCCAAGCGGAACTGCTCATTCTACCTGTGCTTTTCAGGCCGGACGTTAAGAGTTTGTCCACCTTTAGAGAAGCCCAGGAGGAAAGAACAGAAACCTGGGCCTTTTCTGTGGTTGTTCCCAATCATGGAATGAACTCGGCCCCTGCCCTGGTAACATTCAAGAAATCTTTGAAAACTTTTTCCTGTTCAGATCAGCTTTTCAATCCATGCCGTCTAATAGCTGCTGGACGACACTGAACACCTGTCGCTTGTTTATTAATTTCGAAATCTTATTCGCTGATTAATTTACTGTAATTGCTATTTGATCCTTGGTTGTTTGTTTTGTGACATCGTTATCAAATTGTAAGGTTGGCATTTTAGGATGATTAGCTGTGCTTTGCTCTCTGCTGTACACCGCCCAGGCCAGAGGGCGCCATATAAAAGTGTAAGAAATAAATGAATGAATGAATAAATAAATACCTTTTATTGCTCTCCTGTTCCTCATCCGGTAGGAGTTTCTGCCTTTTCCTTGCCTGCTCCTCTTCAAGCCACCTCTTCCGCTTCCAACCCTTCACGTTCACTCCCTGAACCACGGATTCGATGGCGTCCGTGACGGTGTCAGGCCCCGGGTGGGGCAAGCAGCTCGGGGCGAGGCTCTCAAGTTCCTGGCTGACAAACCGGCTCACCGGGAGGCCGTGCGCCGAGACGACGGAAGGCAGGGGGTACTTCCTGGGCCTGCCCGGCCGGCGCTTGACGAAGTTATTCCCGGTTCGCGACTGCCTCTGCAGCTTCTTGGCTTTGAGGATTTTGTTCACGTGGTCCAGGTTTTTCTTCGTGGCCAAGATCTTGTCGTAATGGCACATCCTCCTTGCCTGGGACTGCATGGCTTCCACCATGCTCCTCTTGAGGTGATGAGCGGAAAAGGTGCAGGACAAGCGGTCGGAGAGCAGGGAGAGGCCGTCGCCGGACAGGTCCCTGGGAATCAAGAGCCCACTGCTCTTCTCCCGGCTGGGGCTCCGGCTGGGGCTCCCCGAAGCGGGCGCAGGTGCGTTCGCCATGACGGTCTCTAAGGTTTTGTCCAGTCCTCCCTGGCCTTCGTGCTGAGCCATGCGCTGTAAGAGGTTATCCACCGGATCTTCCGCCCCGGCCCCTAATCTTGCAGTCCGTGCTGGCATCCCAACTCCTGTGAAGGCAGAACCAGAGAATGGAATCGTAAAGCAGGTTCAGGCACTGCTGGACAGCTCAGTGGTTGAGGCCTCCGGCTGTGGAGCCGGAGGTTGGGAGCTTGATTCTCCCCGTGTATCTCCTTGGCAGGGGCTGGGCTGGATGATCCCACAGGGTCCCTTTCAGAGCTGCAGTTCTGTGATTATTATTGTTATTGCTACTGTTGTTATTGCTATTACAGTGGTGCCTTGCTAGACAATAATAATCTGTTCCACTGAAATCGCTGTTTAGCGCAATCATCGTCTAGCGAAAAGCATTTCCCCACTGGAATGCATTGAAACCTGTTTAATGCGTTCCAATGGGGAAGAATCGTTGTTGTCTAGCGAAGATCGGCCATAGGAAAGCCACTTTGCGAACCGCCGATCAGCTATTTAAACCACTGTCTTGCGAAGCTTAGGTCCTGAAAACACCCATTTTGCGAGCCCGGAGGGAACTGTCAAAATCGTCGTCTAGAGAAAATCGGTTTGCAAAGCAGGGACCAAACATTGTCCAGCAAAATTCCCCCATAGGAATCACTGTTTTGCAAATCGCTATAGCGATCGCAAAATGTCTAGTGAAAAACTGTCATGCGGGGCAACTGTCTAGCGAGGCGCCACTGTAATATTATATCTATTTATAGAATGACTTCATTAATTCACTACATACAGAGTGTGTATTTATGTACCGTGTTTCCCCCCAAAATAAGACAGGGTCTTATATTAATTTTTGCTCCAAAAATGTTTTAGGGCTTATTTTCAGGGGATGTTTATTTATTTTTTTCATGTACAACAATTTCCATTTATTCACAGTCCTGTCATCTTCTGGTTGCTGCACCAGGGTGGAGGGTGGGGATTCACTTAACGGGGCCTTATTTTTGGGGTAGGGCTTATATTATGAGCACCCTGAAAAATCCTACTAGGGCTTATTTTCAGGTTAGGTCTTATTTTCAGGGAAACAAAATGTAAGAAAGTGTGTGGGGGTAAGATTAGGTCTTATTTTCAGGGAAACAAGGTGTAAGAAAGAGTGTGGAGGTAAGCTTTCTCCTTTTAGAAAAAGTCACAATCCCTATTACCTAGTAATGTGAATAAGGAGGACTGGAAAATAAATTAACTTCCGTATAGGAATTCAAAACAAACATAAAACTACAGCAACGGCAGTAAAAAGGCAATAATCTAAAGCCTTTAAAAAAAAAATCCAGAGTTTACCACATGACAGAAAGCAAGCAGTGAAGTGGATGGGTCAGACTTTTTGGGAGGTGTGACGGTTGTTGAAGCAGAATATAAGGACAACGCGAACCCTAATGCTGATCTGATTGTGCAGGAGGAGAGATTCTTATGGCATGAGCCTCGTGGTGGAGCAGCTCAATTGCAATACTGCAGCCAGAATTCTGCTCACGGCCCGGGTTCAAATCCCAGGTAGCCAGCTCAAGGCACGTTCAGCCTTCCATCCTTCTGAGGTCAATAAATGGAGTACCCAGCTTGCTGGAAGTGGGCATGGGGAGGAAACGTATACCCTGTTTTGAACACTATGGGGTGGTATCTGAGCAGCGTGCCTTGCTTAAATTTGGTAACCGACAAAGACGATACTACTGAATCATTTGGTCCACGAGGCCAGCCGCGTATCTCAAGAGCGGCTCTACCGAGTAGCATTTTTCAACGATTCTGATTTTCAGACACTTCTCAAGGGCGAATCCAAGCAAAGCACATTTGTAGCAGTTTAATCCAGGAATTAACAGATTGGGAATGTCCACGATTAAGCCTAGCTTCTTCGGGAAAAAGGGTGCAGCTGGAACATTGGCTTAAGCTGCTCAGATGCCTCCCTTTCACGAGGGCTGCCTATGGCTCAACCCCCTCGCCGCAGACTCTAGAGGGAGGCCGAATTGTCTGGGGCTGGTGGCAAAACACATGCCACCTGTTGAGGAAACAGAGCTACCTAAACAGCTGCACTGACCAAAGATAATCTGGCTGTACAAGGCGGATTCCCTCCGCCCCGGCCCCCCCGCCCCTCGGGAGGGGTAAGGAAGATGCAGTGTCTTGACGGTCTGCCCTTGAACTCGCGCTCCCGTTTCTGGAAAAGATCCAAGAGGTTCAGGCAAGCCAAAGGCAGGAGCCTGGAGACAGTCGCGAGCCTGGCCAGGCAAGGACTGCAGAGCATCTGAGGAACAAAGGACGTTTTCTCTTCCACATCACGCCCGGGGGAAACGTTCACGGTGAAGGATGTCACCTTCTGAAACCTTCCCTCTCTCTATTTTTTTTTCCTTCTCTACAGCCTGAGTTTAGCAACCAATGGCAACGACGCCTCCGGTTCGACCTAAGCTTGCTGTTCCCATCCATCTCACGCGACATCAAGTGCTAAAGGGCCACCTGCTGCTACCTTTCCAGCTGCGGCTCGGCCCCGCTCTGCGCCGGCAGCCAGCTGTCAACCCACTTGCACGAAGTGACAAGAGAATGCTCTGATACACCCGGAGGTTCCTAGGCTCTCCCAGCCATCTGTTTGCTTGTTTTTTAATTTCCCCATTTTAATTTGGAAAACGAGCACGTGAGAACAGCGCTGGGCTGGGGACCGGGAAAAAGAAAAAGAGAAGATAAGGTAATGCAACTAACTAGGAGGGCTTGTGAAATGCTGGGGAGGACCGGCATATGGCGCAGAGGCTGTTTGAGCCACGAGGGAGCCTACCTTTGGCTCTGCTGTGGAGCAAACCTTAATTCCAAGTTTCTTTACGTGCTGCGATCAGCTCCACAAGGCAGATCAGCCCGACAACACAATCTTTAGGGCAGGAGAAGGAAATCTTTTGGTAAGGCCCTTTGTAAAGAGTCTATGGGTTGCGTAGACATCACCCCGCTATTCTTACAGCCCTTGCTAGGGAAACCTGATGGATTTCTTGACCTGGGCCCTTCCTCACCTGGGGGATCTCAAATCTATCCACAAGATAGGAATATATATATTTTTTCCTCTTCAGGAAGGAGAGTTATCTTATGAAGCAATTAGAATCTTGCTTTCCATACGCCTGCATGGGACCAATTTTTGGGCTCCCACCCCCCCCCTGGGAAAACTCTCAATTATTTTTTGAGGTGGTACGGCCCATGGGGAGTTCTAGGGAAGAAGCATGCTGACTCCCCCAACGCACTGATTATCCCTGCAACAGAGGAGACATACGTATCTGCCCTACCACGACACCAGTGCCTGCACCTACATCCTCTCCCTCTGTTACTGGCAGGAAGACAGTGCAAAGAGAACAGCTGGAGGATGGGGTGTGTGTGTGTGTGTGTCGGAGTCAAAGGCCTTGAGACCCACGGTGGTTCCACCTGCTGGGAACTCTGGCAATCTCAACGCATTTCACCCAGCTCTCCGAGACTGGGGTGGTGCCTATGTTCGCTTTCCCTGTGGTTCCCCGAGGAATCGTTGCTTCGAGGAGTCTTTCTATCTTGCAGTGCCTTTTCTCAAAGAAAAGGTGAAAGCTGCTCCCGGGAGGAGAGCAATTAAAGAAAGAAAGAACACACCTTTCAAAATGACAAAAAGACAGCAGGAACAAACATTACGACAGAGGCACAGAAAATTCCACCGACTTGCAGCGACACATCGCACGGCGCAGATGCTGGCGGCTGCTCTTACTGTGGCTGACATCCAACGGCTGAGAAGGCATTGGCTTAGTAGAACCCCACCGAGGAGGGGCTCACGCCTTTTCCTGGATCTGTAACGCTGACTCTCGGCTGTGTTTTCCACCTATCCCTGGGTCCTGCCCAAAGTTGCCTAAACTGAATCGGGACCTAAACGGTCAGCTTTTCTGGACTACCCCCCCCCCCAAAGACAGCCACAGCTCAGTTTTTAGATGAGCAGGATGGAGGAGGAGGTTAAAACATTACTCGCCTGTCGACGAAGTGCTTTCGGACGAAGACCTCTTCCTGGAAGGGCTGCCACTTGTGCTCTCGGTGGGTTTCTGGGAGGGCTTGTCCTGGGTGGGAGGTGTCCCTGGGCGAGGAGGAAAAGCCACATCAGAAAAGACACAGAGGCTTTCAGCAACACAAGACAGACGTCAGAAAACAGGGGAAAGCAGCATCTCAAAAGAGACCACAACACCCACCCACCCCAGGAACTGAATCTGGTTCTGATGCCACCAACTATGAATCAAACCCAACTCAGTGAAAACTCGAACAATGACTAAGAAGCCATTTAGCTAGTAGCTTTGGGGGGGGTGTAACATGCCTCTCAAAAGAGCTGATATCAGGTCTGAATTCAGATGGGGGAGGCTCAAACACCCTCTGATGGCCACCCCCCGGTATAAATAAATGGGCAGCTGGGTCATCTTATTTAGCATTGATGTGAGGGGCTGGTCCGGACCTTGTCTGGTCAGGATTTTGGGACTGTGCAAAACGACCCAAACACGCTTGAAAAATACTGTATATTGAGCTGACTCAACCAATCGCTCAAGTCACTCCCCTATTAGGGCACAAGATCAGACCTTACATCACGGGAGAGGCCCAGAATCTCTCCCTCCCCAGGCCAGCCACAGAAAGATGAAGGCAAGTCCAGCGGGAGGTCACAGATCAGCAGAGGAGAGCTTGCTGGCCTTAAAGAAGAGAGCCAGGCTCTCCTCAAGAAGGATGGATTTCCTCCACAGGGACAAGCGCAGGTGGGCAAAGCTATCCGTTCTTTCACACTGCAAAGTACAGGAGGTCTCGGCCAACAGAATTACTCTTCCCTCTGGGCTGGGAGAGCCTGGGAGCTGCAGACCCAACAGGAAGCTTTCCCCCCTCGGTGGAAGAAATATCAAGAGCTGTCGCGTAGCTCGGGCGATTTAAACAGGCAGGGAAAGGCGGACCAAGATGTCCGAGCCTTTCTCTACAGATATGTGACAACTGATTCTGTGTCCCCTGAAGTGAAACCTGTTAATGCCACATTTTAATCTGATTTTTTCAAGTTGGGAGTCTCTAGCTTGCAACTTTAATTTAACTACAAGTCCTGAACCTTAAACATCTGCCTGGGATGATTTCGAGACCTATCTGTGTCTCCCTCTACTGCCCTTCAACACCCACCCCCCCGTTCTGCAATGTACCGTCAGAGAGAGGCAGAGCTCTCTGCTCGACCCAAAAGATCCACTTTCCACAGTATTTTATTGTTCCAATAAAACTATGACCCGCCTGTGATCATAAGTATTTCACATGAACCGGGGGGGGGGGAGAGGGGACATGCTTCTTTATTATTCATCACAGGGAAGCAGCCCTGGGCTTCTTTCTTCCTCAGCACCTCTGGCATGATGGCACAATGTGGGAGCAAAACCCACACTCTGTTTCTGCAAGAAACCTTTGCAAGAAATGCCGGAATGCAGAAAAGTGCCTGCATTTAATACCACTATTTGTCCATTCAGACAGTTCCTCTCCGGTGCAAACCTGATGGACTGTAAATTTCAGCACGCCTCATCACCGGCTAGGCTGACTGAGATGGAGTGATGTTTCAATACAACATCTGGAGGTCAAGGAATTTGCCCACCCTCTCTGTTCTCTTTGGCAGCTGTTCATCGGGAGCTCGGGCACAGAGAAGTCCTCACCCTCAACTGTTCCCTGATTTATTTGTTTATTTATTTATTAATTAAAGAAGGCACTGAGGAATGAATCCAGGACCTACTTAATCAGAAACAACTACTCCGTCCCCACACTCATGTTAAGGAGGAATCTGAATTTAACGGCTGCAGAAACTGTAAGTCCACACTTTGGGGTCAGGGCGATTCAAGCCTGCAAACTCAACAAACTCTGGCGATTGTGAATACATGTGTAGGTTTTGTGGGAGGAGTTTAGCCGACTCCGGTCTAAAGGGTGTTTAAAATGACAAGAGATAGATGCTGATGTTGTTATGTGCGATCAAGTCACCCCCAACTTACGGCGATCCTATATATAAGTGACCTCCAAATTATCCTGTCCTCAACAGCCTTGCTCAGCTCTTGCAGACTCAAGCCCGTGGCTTCCTTGAGGAAGTCCGTCCACCTCGTCTTTGGACTTCCTCTTTTCCTGCTGCCTTTCTACCTTCCCCAGCATGATGCTCTTTTCCAGAGAATCCCGCCTTCTCAGGATGACCCCAAAGCGGAACAGCCTCAGCTTCAACCTTTTTGCCTCCCGGGAGAGTTCAGGCTTGATTGGATCACGGACCCAACAGATTTGTCTTTCTAGCAGTCCTGGGTCTCTGCAAAGCTCTCCTCCAGAACCACATGTCAAATGAATCAATTCCGTGACAGGTTTCTTCACTGTCCAGCTTTCACACTCGTATGTGGTGATCGGAAATACGATCGTGTGGACAATCTTGGTCTTGGGTCTCCAGGGACCATAATTACACTTGATGAACATCTCTAGTTCCTTCCTAGTCTCCGTCTTCTTCCGGGACAGGAATAAACATGAATTCGTAGGGTTCTTCCTACATTATAAACGGACACACTACCTCTCAGCGACTTACTTCCAAGTGTAGACTTGTGTTCTTCCTACATTATAAACGGACACACTACATCTCAGCGACTTCCAAGTGTAGACTTGTTGCCAACTTGGATTGTCTCGGCATGGTGTGCAAAAGAGGTTTGCTAACAAGGATGACTCAGAAACCCTGATTTTTGGGGCCACTTAAACGAGCTCTCCCAAGACTCTACGGCACGCCGTGCCCAAGACTGGGCAAGAGAAGGCCCATGTGCCAAGCATCCACCTAAAAGCGATTTCCACAAAGAACGCAGCTGGTTCCAACTGTGGGAAACTCACTCACTGAAAGCGATACATTTTCATCTGACTCACCAATTAAATGCACTAGCAGAGAGGCAATGATTCAGAGATAGCACTTGGTGGGCTGAAACATCTCTGTTTTCGTCCTAATTAAGGCTGTTTCTCATCAAATCCAAGTCGGCTGGCTCACGGTAATGGAATTCCTTAGGAAATTCCCGGAACTGCACTAACCAAGACAACCTGTTTTCTCTTTCTGCTTTCTCAACTTAACCCACTGAGGAGGTTGAATTTAATTCGCAGCAGAAAAGATCGGTTTGTGGGTTTTAAAATTTTAGTTTTGAAATTGATTGATTCTCCCCCCCACCCCACCCCCACGGAAACTAGGATGATCTAATGTTACAAAATGATGTACGCAACAGCTGTTAAAAAAATGTAAAATAAAGAGGCACACCAGCCAGTGAAACAAAATAATTAAAAATTAAACCTTCAAATTTTAGAGTTTGTGGAATCGTTTCTGAATGCTTAATTCTTGGAAAAGTGAGTGGGGGAGAGACGAGGAACAACGGGGATTTGGGAATAAGCAGAAGACGACAAGGAGACAGTGGGACGTTTTGATTGGATGTTTGGGCTCTTCCTGCTCTGAATGTGTTTTCTTGGTGTTGCTTTTGTTTACCAATTCTTAAGAGTGATATTTATTTGATCTTTTTAAGTATTTGTCTATTCATTGTTTTAAAGTTTTTAATATTGTCTTTCGATGACAGTAAGCTGCCTTACTATAGCTTTACATGTTGCCTTTTAATGGTATAAGACACGCGGGGTGGGGTGGGGTCTTTTTCAGGAGAAAGGTGGGGTAAGATTAAATAAATAAAACAGCTTAAAGGTTTGGCTCCAGGAAGACCTTCTCAGCAGTTTTTAGGGACTACAATTTAAGATGCATTCAAGATTAAAATTGTAGAACGAATAAATAAATAAACCATTGCAAATCCCCCCTCTCCACGTCACTGAAAATTGTAGAACAAATAAATAAATAAACCATAGCAATGCTGGCCACTGCTGAGAAATAGTTCTGATTGTCTGCTACTAGGAGAAGAGAAAAGGAGTTCTGTGGCACCTTAAAGACACCAAGAATTATTACAGCATAAATATTTGCAGGCTGAAGCCATGAAAGCCTACGCTTCAATAAATCTGGTCGTCTTTAACACGCCACACGATTCCTTTTCGTTACGGTCAATGTTATCAACACGGGTCAAAAAGCCACCCAGAGAGACAGCTTTGTGCCTCTGGCATGTATCCTTTGTAACCAGAACCGCTGAACCATTTACAGGGACCATCATTCAGTGGGTTGGCAATGGCAAGCTGACTAAAACCAGGGAGCAACCCGTTTGCAGGCTCAATCATTCTCTTCCAACTCTCTGAAGCCAGCCTGAAACGTTTCACTAACTGGGTCGTCAAATATGTTATTGCTGTTGATGTAAATCACTCTTGTCTTGCTTCGGGGCAGGTTCAGCCGTTGCTAAGGGAAGGTGTAAACTCAAGCCTCCCGTCATTCAGGCGTGCAAGCATAGGGCCCAGGGGACAAATAAACAACGTTTCACTAACTGGGTCGTCAAATATGTCACTGTGGTTGATGTAAATCACTCTTGTCTTGCTTTGCCGCAGGTTCAGCCGTTGCTAATGAGTTACCAGGGAAGGTGTAAGCTCAAGCCTCCCGCCATTCAGGCGTGCAAGCGTAGGGCCCAGGGGACAAATAAACCAACCAACGAAGGGCCACAAAACACCAGGAGAGAGGACCTAGATCTCATGGAGAAGCCCCCGGCCAGCATCTCTAGTTGAATGGACCAAGGAGTAGGGGATGAGAAAGACACTTCTCTGTAGCCAGAGTGGACCCATGGGGCTAGAATCAATACATGGACACGTGACTGCCAAGTCTAGTCCAACACTCTAACCCTTAGGCCCCGTGGGCTCTTGCTTCAGCTAGAAAGGCCACATTACTCAGCCTTGCTTTAGGCTAGATTTCTACATCGTTATCATCATGCGCTGTCAAGTCTGTCCTGATTTATGGCAACCCCGTTTCAGCCGTTTCCAGGCAGGGAAATACTAAAAAGTGCTTTACCCTTCCCTTCCTCTAGGGGCAGCCTTGGGACTGTGCGGCTTGCCCAAGGCTACCCAGGTTGGTTCTTCTGTCTGGAGGCACTGGGGGGGGGGAATCGAAGCTCCCAACCTCTGGCTCTGCAGCTAAAGACCTCCACCACTGAGCTCCCCATCTTTGCTCTTAACTCCAATGCAGTGACGAGGCAGCCTTTCTCACCTCCTGCCCTTCCCACTGAACACCCCGGGGCCTCGCCCGCCTAACTAGAGAAACATTTCCAAAACCGTGCCCGCCAGGCAGCGTGGGTCAAGGAAGATCTCTTACCCGAAAGGGACGGCGCTGCCTTCTCTGCAGGGGGCAACGTCTCCTTCCGGAGAGCTCGGCCGAGGGACGATTCTTGCGGGCCGAAGAGTCCAGAGCTGTCGGAGAATTTTTTACGTCCGCTGGCGTTAACGGAGCCGGCCGTGGCTCGGCAGCTCCCGATCGCGCTGGTGAACAGGTTGGTGTGCTCGTCGCTGCTGGCCGGCTCGGAGCTCGGCGTGAACCTCCCCAGCGGCAGGCTGGGAGGCGCGTCCGAACAGTCGATCTGCAACGGGGTCTGCAGCCCCAGGGTGAGGGAGCCGGGCTCCGCCGGATCCCTCCGGACCCACTGCTCCTCCCTGCCGAGCAGGCCTTTGGAAGGGGACAGGTGGGAGCAAGTCATGTGACACCGGTGCTTCTCCTTATGCTTGTACCTCTCGGCCACGGCTTCCTTCCCGAACCGGTAGCGCTTCAGGGACTCCAAGACGGTCCGGGAAGGGCCGTTGGAGGCCAAGGCGTCGAGGGAAACCTGCGGCGGCTCCGAAGAGCGGTGTTCCCGGTGCTTGTGGCGGTGCCGGTGCTTGTGCTCCAGCATCCAACCGTACGCCATCTCCGGCGGGACACTGGGGTGGTAGGTGCTCATGGAGAGGAGGGGGGCCCGGCTGGCCGTGAGGAACGCCTCCTGGCGGAGCAGCTTATGCTTCTTCTTGTGGTACTTGGCCGGGTTGAGGAGCAGGTGGCCGGTATGCATGTACGACGGAGGGGGCAGCGGGGTCGTGAAGGACGGAGAGGGAGGAGGCGGGTAGATGGTCGGAGGGTACCGGCCGTAATAGCCCAAGCCAATGGGGGCGGCTGCAAGGGGAGAAGGGGAGTAAGGCATCCCGTAGGAAGGGTAAAACCCAGTGCTGGAAAGGGGGAAACTGAGGCTGTGCATGAAAGGCATCTCCGCCATCGCCTCCCGCATTTTAGGGGGGCGCCCCCTCTTCTTCTTCAAGTCGGGCTTCCGGATGTAGTGCAAAGGATCCAAAGGGAAGGTGGGGTGGGTGTAGAAGCTGTTGAAGTTGATGCGGAAAATGGTGGGCAGCAGGTCCCGGGGGATGAAGTGGTGGCTCCGGTGGGTGATGCGGATCTCGCTCAAGCGGCTGATCAGCTCCTCCAGTTCGGCCAGGAAGTCGGGGTCCTGCCTGCCCCGCAGCTGGGGGTACTTCTTCTTCCGCTTCCGCTTCCGCTGCTTCATCTTGTCGTAGGCCAGGTAGTCGTGGCTCCGGCGTTTGCATTTGTGCTTGTGCTTCTCCTTGAGGCCGCTCAGAACGGCCGAGGCCTCGGGGGCCACCAGGGAGACGTGGTCGAAGGAGTGGCGCCGCTTCTTCGGGCCGCAGAACTTCTCCGCCCGGTCGGAGGTGCTGTTGTTGTCCGTCCCGATCCCACTGTCGCTGGGGATGGTCTCGTCGCTGTGGGACTCGCTGATGGGCGACGGGGTGGCCTCCTTCAGGGAGCTGAGCTCGCTGATGTGAGAGGGGGAATTGGGGAGGAGGGTGGGAGGGGAGAGCCTCCTCCTGGCTCGAGAAGCCTTCCGCATGGCCAGCGTCTGAACCACACTCCCCGGCCTGGGGTGGAGGTGGAGGTAGGGCACGGAATTCGGCTCCACAAAGCTCATCTCGCTGCTGATGGGGCTCTGCCCCCCGCTGATGCCCGAAGACTGGGAACAGACCGGAGAAGGAAGAACGTCAGGGTTATTATTACTGGTGGCCGAAGGCAGCGCGGGGGGAACCCCTTGACCCAGGGAGGCTCCTGTCGTCTGCGCCGCCGATTTCTCAAGCATTGTCAAGCTGGCAGAACTGGCCGCCAAGATGCCGTTCAGGAGGGCTTTCGGCTTCCTCCCTCGCCTTTTTCCTATGTAAATCGTTCCTTTCTTGCTGACGTTGATCTGCTGGCCTAGTTTCGAGCCGAACGTGGCCGCGAGGGTCGATACCGTCGTGTGGAGCTTGGATTGCACTTTCCCTTTATTTGGCTCCGGCGCGGCGGACGAGAGGATCTGAGTCAGGAGCTTCTTCCGCTTTATCGTCTTCATCTTGTTGATCTTCCGGATGATGGTTTTCATGAGCTGCCCGTTGCTGCTGCGCTTGGGGGGCTCCTTGGGGTCAGGCTCCACCTCAAGGTCGTCGTCCGCGACGCCGGTTTTCTCCAGCTCCTCCTCGGGGCCTTCGAGCGGGTTGGTTCCTTCGAAGAAATCCCCGCTCTGAGGCTGGTCGGTCTCGGATTCCACCTTCTCCGGGCTTTCTGCGGTGACAAAAGGGGCCACAGAGAGCACGGGCGGCTTCATCTTGACCCCTGACCTCATCTGTCTTTTCGGGCGGCCTCTCTTCTTTGGGAAAGCTTGCTCCTCGGCCAGACTCTGCTGCAAAGAGGGGATTTCCACCTCCGGATGCAGCACGGGAGGCTCCTGTTCCTCCTTCGACTGCACCGAAAAGACCTTGGAAGCAGGGATCTTTAGGGTCCGCTTCGGGGGACCTTCCAGGTGGGGCATCTCTTTGGGCTTCGGCCTGCCCCTTTTGGACTTGTACATGTCCGACAGCAAGTCCTCGGAAATGCACTCGACCGAAGCCTGCACGTGGGCGCTATAAAATTTACTGGGCTCCTTCTCCACGCCGCTGAGCAGGGCGAGAGGCGGCAAGCTGCTGGCTTTGCCTAGTTTCGGCAAGTGATGCTTGACGAACTCGCGTTCTGCAAAGGAAGGAGAGCCTGCGCTTTTAAAGAGCTTGGCCTGGTCTAGGCCGCTGTTGGACAGGGCGCTGCAAGGCATGCTTCTGAACAGCTCGGGCCTCCCTAACTCTAGACCTTTGGGCGACCGGCAGGCGCTCCTCGAGACCACCTTGGTCCAGCGGGGTTTCCTTCCTTTCCTTTTCTTTAAGGGCTTTGTTTGGGGGCTGCCGCTACGACTGCTCAGGGTCTCCAGGCCTTGGCATGGCTGGCCCGGTGCCGTCATGGCCCCGATCTTGAGGAAGGGCTGGCTGTTAAAGAAGCTGGAGAAGCTCACCACCGAAGGGGCCACGGTGGTGCGAACGCCGGACTCCGTGGCCGGGGTGGGTTTTTTGCCTATGCCGGGGTTCGGCTTCAGGTCATCCGTGTGGGCCGAGCTGGCACCGTTTAATTCCCTCCCGACCCCTTTACGGACAGGATGGGAGCCGAGACCCGGCAGCCTGTTCGTAGCGGACCGGGCGCCGTCAGAGGCGAAAGGGGTTTTGCTGATCTGCTCAGAAATGCCTTCTAAGAGCTCGGGGGTGTGGTTTAAATGCGAAGGGCTGGACGCTAACTGAGCCAAGGTGGTTGTGGGGCTACGGGTCAAAGTCGTGATGGACGCGGCGGGAGAGGGGGAAGGGAGGCCCCCCTCCCCTACAGCACTGAAGGGAGATTTGGCTGTAGAGACGTCAGAAGCACCTCCCGTGGTCCTGAAGTCAGGAGAAGTGCAATACACCGGCAGCTGTCTGTCATGCTTAGGTGCTTCAGAAGTGCCTTTTTCACTGGCGGAGGAGCCCCCTTCTTGATGGCTGCCTCCTTCTCTGCCTCCACTAGAGGATTCTTTCTGAACAGGAAGCTTTTCCGGCATGCCGTCTTTGCTCTGCCGTGATACATGCTTCTCAAAAGCTTTATTACCCCCACTGTCCTTCACAAGGCTTGGAGGTCCTGGACTTTCGAGATGCCCAAGGTTTGCGCCGCAACACCTTCTGAAAGTCTCTGAGGGAGGGTGAGCCGGGTCGGCTTTGAGAGCCCCCGAGTCCTTGCTAGCCAACCCGCAGAGAGTGCTGGCCCCCGACAGCTTCTTCCCGGAGTCCTTAGCGGTCAAAGCAGCTGAAATCCCAACCCCTGGTGGCTTTTTCCCGGAATCCTTTGTGACCAGCCCGTTGGTCCCCAAGGGCTTCCTTCCAGAGTCTTTGCTAACCAATCCACTTGGTGTACCGAAAGCTGGCATTTTCTTTCCAGATTCCTTGCTAACCAATCCGACTGGGCCATCCGATCCAGGATATTTCTTCCCAGAGTCTTTATTAAATACCCCGATGGGACCGGCGGTGGGCGGTGGAAGCTTTTTCATCGAGTCTTTGTTCACCAGGGCTGGAGGAGGGCTGATGCCGCCTAGCAGCTTCTTCCCAGGCTCCTGGCTCATCAATCCGACGGGACTCCTGGCTCCCATCAACCTTTTCCCAGGCTCCTTGCTGCCCAGCCCAACCATCATGCCAGTCACGGGGGGCTTCCTCCCGCTTTCTTTGCTGACTGATCCTACTGGGGAGGGGAGGACTGGCGGTTTCTTCCCACACTCCTTGCTCACCAGCCCAGCCATGCTGGGGCACAGCCCCGGTTGCTTTTTGGCCCCGGGATCCTTGCTGATTAGCCCAGCCCCGCTACAAACCGCTGGGGCTTTCTTTGCAAACTCCTTGCCTCCGAGAAGGATCCTCATGCTGCCGCCGCAGCCGCCACCGGAGTGATTCTTCACAAAGTCCTTGCCGGCCGAAGCAGAGACCGGTCCAAGTGCTGGCAGTTTCTTTCCGGAGTCTTTAAGAAACCCAGAAGCGACGATGCCCACGGGCGACTTCTTCAGCTTCGTTTTGGAAGACTTGGAAGGAGGGCATGTTGCAATGAGCTGAGCCAGCTTCTCCGTTACCGTGGGTGCTCCGTTAATCTGAGCCCGGTCATTCGAATCTGGATCGCGACCACCGAGAGGAGTTGAAACAGCTGACTTCCCATAATCTGTCGCTTCGGGACGCAGTGGCGAAAGCTTCTTTGAAAGCGGGCTGCTCTCCCTCAGTCTGCCCTCTGCGGCGGAGCCTTCAACAGCTGGTGTGGTTTCTCCGCTTTTCTTGTGAAGCTTTGAGAAGTCCTGGAAATTTAGAAAAGGAAAAACATGAGGGCTTTGAGCATACAGGTAAATAATAATAAGGAGGAGGGGGGGAATATTCCAGATATCCCAAATATTGTACTGCTTTTGCACTCTTGGGGAAAAAAATTGAATTTTGAGGTAACAGATTCAAAAGCTGCCTGCAACTTGGAGCAAACTCTGAAACACCTGGAATCTATTGGAAAGGGGAACCCAGACCTTGTTATTGACTAAATAGCAGGGTGGATGAAAATCAATGGGTTTTTTTAAAAAATCAAATTGCTTAAATCAAAAAATAATTTAAAAAAAATTAAATCGTAAAAAAATCCTATTTAAAATTTTTTAATCAGTTGTTTCCACCTTTTTTTGAGTCATGCCTCCCTTCTCTTTGTAATAGCCAAGTAACTTGTGACCCATCACCACCACATTTGCATAAACAATTTAGGATGCGAGTCGGCAGCTAGCGGTCTTCACATAAAATCTGAGATGCTTAATGTGGAAAAAGAAATAAGAAGCCCAAGTGCAAGGGTAATTTGTAGGAAGGAGGCCTGGAGTCGGCCCTCTGATCATCCTTGTGCAGGTGGTTCTGGTCAGCAGGTAGACTGTGTGCTTGCAATTGTTTCCAAGGCTAGTAAAAGACTGCTTCTCTCCCCTACTTTTCAATTTACTCTCACTATGTGGGAGTGTTCCCATATGCGATTACCAAGATTGTAAAATCTTTGACTCTAAGGAATTCTTTCATTCATACATTTCGGTAATTAATATTTCATTCATTGCACCTCCAGCCTGCTAGGGGATTTCCAGAACACAGCCCCTGCTTTGCCAAGAAGCGTCTCATCTAACTAGACATAATTTAGTATCGGCGGGCAGACCTAATAGGCAAAGAGAGGAAGCACACAATCTCATCCTTTTATAGCTGGGTTGAAAATGCTCCTCAGAACAGGAGGAACAGCTAAGAAACAGGCCTTAGGAGTTTTTTCTGTCAGCTAAAGAGGGTGGACAGGCAAATTGGTACAGGCCGATCAACAGCAACTATGGAAGGAGATAAAGATCCCTTGACAAAACAAAGCAACATCCCCACCTCTTGGTTTTGATGTTCAAGACTGTCCGCGGGTAGGAGCGGCTCGCGGGCCGTATGTGGCCCTCGGGCCGCACTTTGCCCAGGTCTGGTGTAAACGTTAGTGCAGGATATGTGATAATGGGCTCAAGCTACAGGAAGCCACATTTAGGCTGAATATCTCAACTGTCAGAGCAGTACGACAACGGAACCCAGGACCATGGGAGGTGGTAAGTGCTCTAATGCTGGAGGCATTCAATTGGACAGCCATTTGCTTTGATCTGTTTTCCTACCTTGAGGAGGGGGTTGGAAACCAAGTCTTGATAACCAAGGGTTTAGAGCAGTGATCCCCAATCTTGGGTCCCCAAATGTTCTTGGACTAAAACTCCCAGATTCCTTCGCCACTCGGTGTACGGGCCAGGATTTCTGGGAGTTGCAGTCCAAGAACATCTGGGGGACCCTAAGCTGGGAACTTTCCAACTTCACACCAAGGCAGCAAGGCAAGACACTATTACTCCTTGCTCTAAAGACAGGGAGCGGGGGCTGAGAGAACAGCAGGGCTACCCAAGGCCCACCAAGGAGCCGATGACTGAAGGAGGATGCTGCCTGGAAGGGGGCTGTGGGCTCCCCTCTGAGCCACTAAACTACACTGTCTTTGAATCAGCGTAGTTTTACATGTATGGCAGGCTCTTCGAAGCCGTCTTTCATCTTGTTCTTAAGCTTCCCTTCTGATCCGGGTGACGGCTTGCTTCAAACCCGAACCAGGCTCCGTCTTTCCTCCCAAGCTCTTCGGGGACAGGCAGGAAGAGTTGTAGATGCCTCCGGATCCCATTTTGAATGTTTACTTGGCAAGCTGTTGGTGCTGGAGGGATTGGCGGCGGTGGCGGGGGGGGGAGGCGGTGGCGGGAAGGGAGAAAGTGAGAGAGAAGGCTGGCGCTCAGCCCAGCTTCACCCTGGCAGCTGCAAGAGTATGTCAATTCCTGCTGGAACCTTATGGCTGCAGAGGTTTCGGCTTCCTTTGCGGGCACGCATGTAACAAGCTGCTGAGAAGAAGTGCAGCCACAATCTGCCCCCTCCCCAAATTCTCATCGCCCCCAACAGCCACCGAGGGTGCTCATGGGGCTGCCTTACACGGAGGAAGGCACCCACGCCTGAGCTGGCGGTTTGTGTATCGCGCACATATGCCCTGGAGGGTGTATCAGGCTTTTAAGGGTGAAACACTACCCACATGGCACCTTAGGGCCTGTTTGGACACGGTTCCTTTCCCCCCCCAACAGTACGGCCGGCCGTTGCTCCCTCGGCTCTCACGTTTTTCCTCTAGACTTAAGAGGGGGCATAGACTGAACAATTTCACTTCCTCTTGTTGTGATCAGGGTGGGAGGAGAAAGCTCTCTGGAAACCCGTCAACCCTCCTTATTCTCCCCACCCAGCATGAACCCCATCAGCCAGTAGCTCCCGGGCTCCTTTTCGTGCCTAATGATGATTGGGAGCTTTCACTGATCAGGCAACGTGGTCTCCCCTTCCGCATCCACAATACTCTGCTCTCCCTGGGATGTCCAGCAAAGAGAATTTTAAGTACGGAAGGGGATAACTAGGTGGTAACACCAGCCCTGCCTGAAGACTCAACTCAGCTAATTCCTATGGGACAGATCCTTTACCACCGGCCCTTTCTCTGGCGCAAGACTCTGCTTTCCTAAGTCCCTGCCCTGGGCGGGTGACCTGGAACCCGATCCCCTTCCCCTACTGGCCCCTCTGACCCTGGACTTCTGCTGGAAAACCTGATCTGAGCCAAGGTGGATTCGATTTAAATTGAATTGATTTAAATATTTTTTTTAAAAAAAATTAGATTGCCTTTGATGGTTTAAATTTGTTTTAAAAAAAAATTTAAAAATTTAAATCGTGATTTCAATCCAGGTTTTTTTTTAATCACTGATTCTTATCCATCCTGTCTTGAACGGGATACTCGGTGTCCCACCACCTTCATCCACCTGTCCACACCAGAACAGGAGCTGGCCAAGGCCTCTATCATCTCCTCCTCTCTAGTCCATCCTGTACCTTGTCTTCTTCAACTTAGCTCAGCAAACAACCTCCCCTGCAAGTTGGTACTGTACTGACTAGTACATCAACTGACCTTTTTTTTCTACAGGGGTTGTAAAGGCTGATGAAATACCATCACTAGGAAGTGCTCCTTGACGGTCCTGAAAGCATGATGCTGACCTGAAAACAACCGTTTTACGAGGCCAAAGCAATGCAGATATTTCAGAAAAGTCTTCCATAAAGGGGCACGGCTGCTCTGAGGAAGAATATTAAGAAAAACTCTGCAACCGTACGGGAAATTCGAGCCAGGGCTATGGAAAAAGGGGCGTTTGGGGTACAAGAGGGAATTCTGGACTAGGGCCACAAGACATACGAAAGTAGGCCCAATGTAGTGAAAAAGTTCATGGACAAGTATAGATGCATTTATTATTAAGGCAGAATGGCTGGCCTTTCAGGGGACGGCGCTCATGGCTTCATCTGTGGTGCTTCCCATTCTGTTGTTGCCTTTAACCCAGTGCCTCCCACTTGAGACTCCGGCAGGGATCTGCCTGCCTCTTGGCAAAGCTACCGCTAACTCAACCGCCTCCTGCAGAAAACACATAGGGCTTCGGTTCCCCACAAAAACCCAAGCGGACTGCTGCCCGTCTTGTCTTTGCACCCATGGAAACATGCAGGGCGTTCTTAACACACCTTTGTTCAGGTGTGGTGGCAGGGATTTAGAAGACGTAATTGCCGCGCAAGCTCAAGCTGTTATAAGAAAGAGAGAGAAAAAAAAACTCAGGGAAGGCAAAGCATTATTTTTTTTCTTCCTTTTTGGCTTTGCAAATGGTTCAAAGCTGACTGCGATTGAATGAGCGGCGGAGAGCCTCCTGCAGCATTTTACCTGCACAGTCAAGGATGCTGCAATGCCGAGGAGGATACCTGTGCTCAGCAGTTTCTCAGGGAAACAGGGAGCTCGGAGGGAACAGACGCAGGTTCCATCTTGTCTCATTGTCTCAACCGCATCACGTTACAGCTGTCTGCAAATGGTTCAAAGCTGACTGCGATTGAATGAGCGGCGGAGAGCCTCCTGCAGCATTTTACCTGCACAGTCAAGGATGCTGCAATGCCGAGGAGGATACCTGTGCTCAGCAGTTTCTCAGGGAAACAGGGAGCTCGGAGGGAACAGACGCAGGTTCCATCTTGTCTCATTGTCTCAACCGCATCACGTTACAGCTGTCAGGGCTGTGCTCCCCCCCCCCCCCCCCGCGTCACTTTCGTGCCTTCGTATCATCCCTGAGACCGGAATAGTCTCAGAGCTGTTCAGCTATAAATAGGTGGCTGCACTTGCCCATCTGTGCTTCGAGCCATGAACAGCTCCCCTTCCTCCCAGGAAAGCAAACCAACACCTAGCAAAGACGTAGCAATACCCGAGCAAGCGTGTTACAACTGAGACAAAAGGAGGGAGAAAGAAATAAAACCCTGCAAAGACTCATGCAAACACACTGGTAACTGGGGGGGGGGCAGGTGGAGGGAGAAACATCTTTGAATGTAATAAAACCCCAGCCATGACTATACAGATGTCCAGCGTAGGCCAGAATTTTGATTCTGAATAGTCCTGCATATATTTATATTTCAAAGGCAAGATTCTCGGAGAGGACAAGAGGAGATGAAGCGTGCATCGTTCCCTCTTCTTCTTCTAATACTTCTTTTACAGTTATAAATTTAACCCTGCAGCTCTAGTTTAACATGAAGCAGAGCCCAACCTGGGGACATCCAACTCAGTTAACACAAGAACAACACTGTATACTCAACGGAAACAGAGCACAATTCTGACCCTGGTGAGGAACTACAAGTAGCTATTGCATATTCTGTGATTAGGAGGCTGAGTTTTTACACCAGAAAGGTGTTGTCTTAAACCCAACAGTAG